CTTTGACAATCAACTCAAAATATTCGAGCCAAGCGCGGAATGCTTTAGGTGGCCCGACGGGTGATTTTAGGCTGGCTTTCACGCCGCCAGCGCGAGATTTATGTGTGCAACTAATTGTACATAGTTGAGCAAATTTGCTAATGCATTATTCAAACAAAACAAATGCCAAGATTATGCATGCCAATACTTGCCGAAAACATCACAAACAACTTATATGCTTTGGTAAGTTACATAACACCATTAACAGCAATAAATAAATCTATAGCTACTTCGTTTTATAATTAAAATTGATTTGATTTTAAACAAATCAAGATTTCATGTTTCGTGGTAGGCAACCAACATCACACCCAAACGAACCTTTCAAAAACAGTAATAAAACATCTAAAAACATGTTTTAATCAATGTTTTCTAACATAGACAAGTAAAATATAAGATATATTTCATTTTTTAATAATTTATACACAATTAAATTGTTTTAATCACAATTTACTCAGTAAAAACTTCTATACTGTCATCTTTACCAATAATATTCAAAGAATTCACCGAATTTACACCATTTTCAGCTTCAATCACACTCAAAACATCATGCGTCTTCATATGTGTATACAAAGACCCTGTTTGTGAGAATTTCTTCTCACAAATATTGCACTTGTATGGTTTTTCTCCAGTGTGAATCCTCATGTGCACTTTTAGCGTAGATGATTGATAAAAACCTTTATTACACACGTTACACTTGTAACTGCGATCATCTACAATAAATTCGTTTAATAAACCACATAAAAACATTAAATTCACCTACCAGTATGCGTTTTTATATGAATCCGTAAATCATGTGATCTCAAAAATGCTTTAACACACATTGTGCATTTATACGGCTTCTCACCCGTATGAATCCTTGAATGTTTCTTCAACTGAGAAGAACTCACAAATCCACGCTTACAAACCTCACATCTATACGGTTTTACACCTGTGTGTATCCTAGAATGTACCGTGAGTCTCGACGCATCAGAAAAACACTTTCCACACTCTTTACATCCATAGGGTTTCTCACCAGTATGAATTCTTCGATGAATAATCATATTTGATAGTGTATAGAATCCTTTACCACAATATTCACACTTATGATCTTTAATACCTTCGTGGATCTTCATATGCAATGCCAGAGACTGTGCCCCGGCTAAAGCCTTACCACAAATCGTACATTGATGTGATTTTATTCCACTGTGAGTTTTATTGTGAGCTGCTAACGAAGTGTATCGAGAAAACGTTTTTCCGCATGTTGCACACACGTATGCTTTCTCATTAGCGTGTGCTCTGGTGTGTTCTAACAAACGGAATGATTGCGAGAAGCTTTT